TAAGGGCATTATGCTAAGTGAAATGAGTGAGACAGAGAAAGACAAATACTGTAATGATCTCACTTATATACAGAATCTAAAAAACAAAAACCCAAATGGGGTACCGGGCTAACTCAGTCAGGGGAACACATGACTCTTGATCTCAGGATTATAAGTCTGAGCTCCACAGTGAGTGTAGAGATTACTTAAAAGTAAAATCTTAGAAAAAAAAAAACACAAAACACAAAACCAAAAAGCTCACAGATACAGAGAACAGAGTGATGGTTGCCAAAGGAAGGGATGGGGGGCAAAAATGGGTGAATGTAGTCAAAAGCTACAAACTTCCAGTTATAAAATAAATAATTCCTAGGGATGTAATACACAGTGCAGTGACTGTGGTTAATAACACTGTATTGTATATTTGAAAGTTGCTAAGAGAGATCTTAAAATTTCTCATCACAAGAAAAAAATGTGTAACTATATGTGGTGATGGATGTTAAGTAGACATATTGTGATCATTTCACAATATACACCAATCCTGAATCCAGAATCAATATGTTCTAAACCTTAAATGAATATAATGTTCTATGTGAATTATACCTCAATAAAAAAAAAATCAAATAATGTAATATATCACATTAATAGAGTGAAAGAAAAAAGCCATATAGTCATCTCATTTGACTCAGAAAAGACATTTGGCAAAAATGAAGACACTTTCAAAGAAAAAAAAAAAAAAAGAACATACTTTCATGATTAAAAACTCCCAGAAAACTAGGGATGAAAGGAAAATTTCTCAACATCATAAAGGATATTTATGAAAAATCCATAGCTAATGTCACATTCAATAGTGAAACATTTGTCACATTCACATAGTGAAAAACAGTGAAAAGCTTTTCCTCAGAGGTCACGAACAACGTAAGGATGACGGCTTTCACCACTGCTAGTCAAACCTGAGCTATTAGAGAAGGGAAAAAAGATGAAAGGCATCCAGATTGGGAAGGAAAAGCTAAAACTATATTTGCACATGACATGATCCTATCTATAGCTGACCCTGAACAACCTGGGAGTTAGAGGTGCCAAAACCCTGCACAGTCCAAAATCTGTGTGTAACTTTTAATTCCTTAAAAACTTAACTACTGAAGCACCTGGGTGGCTCAGTGGGTTAGGCCTCTGCCTTTGGCTTGGGTCATGGTCTCAGGGTCCTGGGATCGAGCCCTGCGTCGGGCTCTCTGCTCAGTGCAGAGCCTGCTTTCCCCCGTCTCTCTCTCCCTGCCTCTCTGTCTGCTTGTGATCTCTGTCTGTCAAATAAATAAAATCTTAAAAAAAAAAAAAAAAAAACTTAACTACTAATAGCCTAGACTGAAAGCCTTATTGATAACATAAACAGTCAATTAACACATATTTATATATGTATTATATACTGTATTCTTATAATAAACTAAGTTACAAAAAATGAAATACTAAGAAAATCTTAAGGAAAATACATTTAGAGTAATGTACTGTATTTATTAAAAAAAAAAAATCCATGTATACATGGACCTGCATGGTTCAAACCCATGTTGTTCAAGAGTTAACTGTAAAGAAAATCCCAAAGAAAGCACAAAAATGCTACTAGAGCTAATAAACTAATTCAGCTAACATATAGGGAACAAGAAAAACACAGAAATACCAGTTGTTTCTACATACTGGTAAAGAACAAAGGAAATTGAGAAAGCAGTTCCATTTATAATAGTGTCTAAAAGAATTAAATACTTAGGAATAAGGCTCACCAAGGAGGTAAAAGATTTATATGCTGAAAACTATAAAATATTGCTGAAAAACATTAAAGATGACCTAAATAATGGAAAGAAAGACATCCCATTCTGATTGATAGGCAGACTTGACATTGTTAAGATATCAATATCACTCAAGGAGATCTACAGCTTCAACACAGTCCCTAACAAAATTCCAATAGCCTTTCCCACCGAAATGGAAAAGCCAATTCTCAAATTCACACAGAATTACATGAGACCCAGGATAGCCAAAATAATCTTACTTTAATTTAATTTTATTAATTTTATTTCTTAAAAAGAATTTATTTATTTGACAGAGAGATCACAAGTAGGCAGAGAGGCAGGCAGAGAGAGGGGGAAGCAGGCTCCCTGCTGCGCAGAAAGCCCGATGTGGGGCTTGGGGCTCATTCTCAGGACCCTGAGATCATGACCTGAGCCAAAGGCAGAGGCTTAAGCCACTGAGCCACCCAGGCTTCCCCAAAATAAACTTGAAAAAGAATAAAGTTGTGGGACTCATACTTCCCAACTTCAAAACTTACTATAAAGCTATAGTAAGTAAAACAGTATGGCGTTGGCATAGGACAAACATAGATCAATGCAACAGAACAGACAGCCCAGAAATAAATCCTCACATCTATGATCAACTGATTTTCAACAAGGCTGCTAAGACTATTCAATGGGGAAAGGGCAGTCTTTTCATGGATATGAGGCCAAAAGTGCAGGCAACAAAAGAAAAAAATAGATAAACTGGATTTCATAAAAATTAAGAATTTTTATGCATCTAGGACTACTATCAAAGAAGTTGAAAAGACAACCTACAGAATAGGAGAAAATATTGGTAAATGACAGATCCGATAAGGGATTAATATGCAGAAAATATAAAGAACTTCTAAAACTCAATAATAATGACAATAACAGGGAGCTATCAGGGTGGCTCAGTTGGTTAAGTTGTCTGTCTTTGGCTTAGGACATGATTTTGGGGTCCTGAGATTGAGTCCTGCCTTGGGCTCCCTACTCAGTGGGGATTCTGTTTCTCCCTCTCTCTGTGCGTTCGCTAATGCGCACACTCTCTCTCTCTCAAATAAATAAATAAAATCTTTAAACAAAAATAATAACAATAGAACCCAACTTTAAAAAATGGGAAGGGCGCCTGGGTGGCTCAGTGGGCTAAAGCCTCTGCCTTAGGCTCAGGTCATGATCTCGGGCCTGGGATGGAGCCCCGCATTGGCTCTCCACTTGGCGGGGAGCCTGCTTCCCCCTCTCTCTCCCTGCCTCTTTGCCTACTTATGATCTCTGTCAAATAAATAAGTAAAATCTTAAAAAAAAAAAATGGGCAAAGGACTTGAATAGACATTTTTCCAAAGAAGATATACAAATGGCCAATAACCTATGAAAAGATGCTCATCATTGGTCATTAGGGAAAATGCTCATCATTGGTCATTAGGAAATGCAAATCAAACCAACAAAGAGATATCCCTTCATGCCTACTAGGGGAGCTACGATAAAAAACAAACTAAAACAAAAAATAGAGTAAGTGTTGATGACAATGTAGAGAAACTGGAATCCCCATGTAGGGCTGGTAAGAGTGTAAAAGGGTACAGCCTCTATAGAAAATAGTTTTGTGGTTTCTCAAAACATAGAACTATCTTACTACCCAGCAATTCTACTCCTAGGTATGTATCTAAAAGAATGGAAAGCAAAGACTTGAATAGATATTTGTATATTAATGTTCATAGCAGCATTATCCACAATAGCTAAAAGGTAGAAACAACCCAAGGGTCCATCAACAGATGAATAAAAAAAAAAAAAGGCAGATCCAAACAATGGATTATTATTTGGCCATAAAAAGGAATGAGATTTTGATATATATTACAACATGACCAGGTAGTGAAAACATTATTCTTAATTAAATAAGACACATATAAAAAGACAAATGTATGATTCCACTTACCTGAGTTACCTAGTACAGGCAAATTCATAAAGACAACAAGTAGAAAAAGGATTGCCAGAGAATGGGGGGTGGGAAGAAAGAAGGATGTTTGGGATGATATGAAAGCTTTGGGTATAAAGAGAGGTAATGGTTACATAAAACCTTGATTGTATTTAATGTCACTGAATTATACATTTATTAATGGTTAAGACAATAAAGATTATGTTATGCATACTTTACAATAAAGTTAATTATATACCCAAAAGAAATTAATACACAGCCATAAAAAACATGTCTGTGAATGTTCATAGTAGCATTATTCATAATAGCCTAAAAGCAGAAATAACCACATGTCTATCAACTGATTAATCAATGAATAAATGTGGTACAGCTATACAATGAAATATTATTTAGTGATAAAAAGGAATCAAAGTAAAACTGGGAAAGTTCTAATAAGATTGGTGTAGAGTATCAATGTCAATATCCAATGGGTCGTATTATACTACAGTTTTGTAAAAAGTTTTCACTGGGGGCTTCCGGGTAGAGTGTATAAGGGATCTCTCAATATTATTCCCTATAACTGCGTGTAAATCTACAAATACCTCAATAAAAATTTCAATTAAAAAAACTGTCACAGAAGGTGACACTGGCTGTGATCTCAAAGTGTCCTGCTTTCTCCTAAAATTTTATGCCACAGATCTACTTATTTATATTAAAGTTTTTGAACTTGCCCTTAGAAAAAAAAGAGGATAAAGTACTGGTACATGCTAAAACATGGATCAACCTTAAACTATTATATCTTAAGCCAGTTATTAAAAAAAAGCTGAACATTTAATTTATATAAAATACCTAGAATAAGCAAATCTATAGAGACAGAATGTAGATTAGTGGTTGCCTAGAGCTGGACAGGAGGCTTGGGAAAAACTGCTAAGAAATATGGGGTTTGTTTTTGGGGTGATGAAAATGTTCTAAATTTAGATTGTGATGATGGTTGCACAATTGTGTGAATATACTAAAATCCATTTAATTGTGTACTTTCCATGGGTCAACTGTATGGTATATGAATCATGTATCAATAAAGATGTTAGAAATTTTTCTTGTGAAGAATACTGTTAGAGAGCTTACGGGGTGCGGTGGCAGAACTAAGATGAAACTTTGGAAAACTCTATGTATTGATTAACCATGCCTTTTCTGTCCCTCTTTAATACAGTTACACAGTGAACCATATACTTCTTACCCAGCAGCTTGAATTCCTGTACTCCTTTTCTTGAACTAGTAGGATAAAGATTATAAAGTGTGGGATTTTTTAACCATTTTACCTGTGAGTAGCTCTATCCACGTCTGGACGGTTTCTGTGGGTTCAGTTGCTTTGATGTGTTTGAGAGTTTCATCCAGCAAAACATCCCCTGTTGGGCTATCTGACTTTAGAAGTACCTTTAAAGGAAGAGTCAAGGGACCCTGGTTCATTTACTTAATTCAAATGAAAATATTTCAGTATACCATATATAGATTATTGGTTAAGTGTTGTAGGAAATGCAAAGCATTCAAGAAGTTTAAAATCCAGCATGGCGTAATAGTAAGAGGACAAAAATAACATTTGAAGTGGACCCTAGGAACAAACTGGATATAAATGATCATGGAGAAAATATGCAATAACAACTCTCTGGGTCTGGAATACCAACTTTTAAAAAAAATATTTTATTTATTTATTTGAGAGAGAGTGAGAAAGAAAATGAGCAGGGGGGAGGGGCAGAGGGATGGGAAGAAGCAGACTCCCTGGTGAGCAGGGAGCCTGATGCGGGGCTCCATCCCAGGATCATGACCTGAGCCAAAGGCAGATAACCAACTGAGCCACCCATGTGCCCAGAGCATGTGACTCTTGATCTCAGGGTTGTAGGTTCAAGCCCCACACTGGGAATAGAACTTCCTGGTGATACCTAAAGAATGTCATTTTGGTAGAGTTCTGAGTATGACAGTGACGTTATGAGTGGAAAAAATAAGTAGTAAAAAATGGAAACAGGAGTATAACTCATATGGTGGACTCGACTCGCTATAAACGGAAGGAGAAAAATCTAATGGTTATCTGAGCATGACTAGGGTTAAACAAAGACTCACCTGACCCATATGTTTGCCCTCCTCCTATATAAAACTCTATTTCATAATGTTATAGTTATAGAGGGAGTAATAACAGCATCCTAAAGTGATTTTTCTACATAAAAAAGATAAAACCATAACCTCCTTCTAATTTTTTAGATGATGGATATTTGAATTTCTTCCTCTGCTATAAGTTAACTAAAACTGTTAGATAATGGGACAACTGTCAGTGATACTTCTCTTGTCTCACTATTCAGATCTTCCCATTCCCCCCAGGGGCACCTGGGTGGCTCAGCTGTTAAGCCTCTGACTCTTGGTATTAGCTCATGTCTTGATCTCAGGGTCATGAATTCAAGGCCCTCAAAAACAAACAAACAAACAAACAAACAAACAAAACTTCCCATTCCTCCAAAATGACCATTGGTATCTGCCCTTTCGTAAGTTAGGAGGATGTCCACAGAGGTGCTATACCTTTCTGTCCAGTAGTCGCTTCTTACGCATTGTGGGGGGTTCCAGATAGATTCGACCCCGCATTGCCAGCTCTATCAGGATACCCCCTCGCAGGCCAGATGATATGCAGTCATTCCAGAAAGATGTGTAACCCTAGAAAAGGCAAAAGAGAAGAGAATGTTCTGAAAGGGTTATGGACTTGCAGCAAGCACCTTAAAGATGGTTCACCTTTTTTTTTGTTTAAAAGATTTTATTTATTATTTGACAGAGAGCGAGCGAGACAGAGAACACAAGCAGAGTGAGTGGGAGAGGGAGAAGCAGGCTTCCCGCTGAGCAGAGAGCCCGATATGGGGCTCAACCCCTAGGACCCTGGGATCATGACCTGAGCCAAAGGCAGATGCTTAACAACTGAGCCACCCAGGCACCCAATGGTTCACCTTTTTGTGATTCATTTCATGTCACATTACATGAACTCAAAGCATAGAATAAGAATGGAATCTCTCTTTAATCCCCTTAATCTAAACCCCCCAAATAAGGTTTTCTGTCTGACTTTTAGCTCTTTGTGAATTCCCATGGTTCAGTTGTTAGTTGATAACTGGCAAGTCAAATTTTAATTTTTTAGAAGAATTTTGGCTTCTTGGAAAGCTATTTTATTGGGTAGTGTGGTAGAAATCCAGCTCTGCCACTGACTGGATAAGTACCTTGGGTATGTTATTTAACCATTTTCAAGTGCAATGTCCTCATCTGTAAAACAGGGACACTAATATCTTTCTTTCTAAGTTTGCTGTGAGGAATAAATTGGATGTTACATATAAGAAGGCATTTAGTAGAGTGCCTGGCATATAGTAGCCGCTTAAATTACTAGTTTCCCTTCCCTGGAAGCTATACAAAGACATAGAAGAAATAACCACTGTCTTAAGGAACCAAAAAATCTAACTGGAAATACCATGCAAATGTGAGGAAAATTCTGTGATAATATAAATTTTAAATAAAAGCTCAATTGAAAAAGTAGCAGCAGAAGGCAAAAATTTGGTTTAGAGGATAGTTTTTCAAATTATAAATCACTTTTGGGCTAGTCAGAAACTTTTATGGGATTTGAACTGGGGTTTAAAGAATAGGCTGAATTTTTCAGAGAAGGGAAGGTTTTCTGGATGAAGATGAAGGAAGTCGTCCAAATTCTACTATTTTTCAAAAGGGCATTCTAAGCAAAAGTTTAAAGGAAAAAGACATCAAATATGTTTAGAGATCTAACTCAAGGACATAAGATCAAGTTGATTGGGGCCAGGCTGTGGAAAGCCTCGATGCTCTGAACTTTTACTAAAGGCAATATTGAATCCTGAAGGTTTTGAGCAAGGAGTTACAATTAACACAAGAAGAACTGTTAAAGAGTTATTAGACTAACTGTTCAACACTCCAGCCATCTTTAGGTGTAGCACTCCCTCTAATGGAAGAGAAGCTGGATGAGATGTTGGCAGGGAAGTTCTAGCATGGCTTTAAAGTATCACCTTTAATGGTTACTATATAAATCACTATTTTTAAAAAAATTTATTTATTTATTTACTTAATTTTTAATTTTTTAAAAAACAAGCTCCACGCTGAATGTGGACCTTGAACTCATGACCCCAAGATCAAGGGCCTCATGCTCTACCAACTATGCCAGTCAGGTGCTCCATAAATCACTATTAATAGTAGTAATATCTAATATTTATTGGATACTTATTATACAGATTTGCATTCAGCTTTTTTGTATGCATGATCTGATCACATCTTCACAACAACCATATAAGGGAGGTACTACTATCCACATTTTAAAGATGAGGAAACTAATGGAGTTTCTGTGACATGGCAGGGGTTACAAAGTTAAACAGTGGCAAAGAATTAAAAACATTTTTTTAATACCACTTTCCTCTTTATTGGTTTAGAAGTTATGCACTCTCTTCTCTTTAGCAAAGTTATCCTTGAAATTTTAACATGCATGACAATTTAAAATTAATACAAAATCTAATTAGTTTTAAATGAATCAATATTTAACCAGTCTTCCATTTGACCAATATTTTATCTTTTACCTCACGTTAGACATTATTATTAGCATTATCATTATATTATACAGGTAGCACTTGTTTAGATTTACTCAGATGCTTGTCAATATCTTTGCTCACCATTCCTACCTGCATCTTAGACCTCCTCTCTGGTACCATTTTCCTTCTTCCTAAAGCAGAACTTCCTTAAGTGAAAGTCTGTTGGAGACAAACTATTTTATCCGAAAGGTCTTTACTTAACATTGTTTTTTTTTTTTTAAGATTTTTTAAGAGGGGCGCCTGGGTGGCTCAGTGGGTTGAGCCGCTGCCTTCGGCTCAGGTCATGATCTCAGGGTCCTGGGATCGAGTCCCGCATCGGGTTCTCTGCTCGGCGGGGAGCCTGCTTCCCTTCCTCTCTCTCTGCCTGCCTCTCTGCCTACTTGTGATCTCTGTCTGTCAAATAAATAAATAAAATCTTTAAAAAAAAAAAAAAGATTTTTTAAGATTTTATTTATTTGAGAGAGAGAGAGAGAATGAGAGAGAGAGACTGAGCATGAGGAGGGGGTAGGGAAAAGCAGACTCGCACTGAGCCAGGAGCCAGATACAGAACTTGATCCCGGGAACTCTGAGTGGCCTGAGCCACCCAGGCACCCTCAACATTGTTTTCTAAAGATAAGTTCCTTGGGGCGCCTGGGTGGCTCAGGCATTAAGTGTCTGCCTTCGGCTAGGCTCATGATCCCAGGGTCCTGGGATCAAGCCCTGCATTAAACCCCACATCGATCCACGCATGGAGTCCTGCATTTGTGCTCCCTGCTCAGCGGGAAGCCTGCTTCTCCCCATCCCACTCCCCCTGCATGTGTTCCCTCTCTTGCTGTCTCTCTCTCTGTCAAATAAATAAATAAATAAATATCTTTAAAAAAAGATAGTTTCTCATGTCAAAATGGATTAAAGATCTGAATAGAAAATAAAAAATAATAAATATGGTTTTTCTGGACATAACAATCCAGGCTGATAGTTTTCTCATAGCACACTGAAAATATTAAGCCCTCCTCTTCCAGCTTCCATTGTTGCAGTGAGAAATATATCATTCTTTTGATTGTGGTTGCTTGTAGGTGATTTTTTTTCCATAGGTCCCTTACGATCTTCTCTCTTGGTGTTTTATAGTTTGACGATGGCATGACTGTGTGTGAATTTACTTATCCTGCTTGGCATATGCTTCCTGTATCTGTAGGTCCATTTCTTATTCTTCAAAAATTCTCACTTCTTATCTCTTAAAAATTTTAGCTCTCCTCCATTTTCTTTATTTTTCCCTTCTGGGACATCAGTCTTTCTGTCTTTTAATCTTTTATATTTTCCATTTCTTTTGTCCCTAAATTGCTTTCTGAAGAGTTCATATCTGGCTTCCAATTTACTCTCTCCATCTGTAACTAATATGCTAAACTAACCACAAGATTTTGATTTCAACTTTGATTTTTTTCATTTCTAAAAGTTCTGTGTAGTTATTTTTCACATTTGCTTGGTCATTTGTGATCATTTCTTTTTGTTGTTCATTTTGTGATTCTTTTATTTCTTTAAAAGGTCATAGATATTGGGGTGCCTGGGTGGCTCAGTGGGTTAAGCCTCTGCCTTTGGCTCAGGTCATGATCCCAGGGTCCTAGGATCGAGCCCCACATCAGGCTCTCTGCTCAGCAGGGAGTCTGTTTCCCCCTCTCTCTGTCTCTGCCTGCCTCTGCCTACTTGTGATCTCTGTCTGTCAAATAAATAAATAAAATCTTAAAAAAAAATAAAAGGTCATAGATATTTTATATTTTCTGATCATTTTAATATGTGAGGTCCATGAATGACCTATTATTTGTGATTTCTGCTGAATCTTTCTCATGGGTATTTGATTCTTTGTATGTTTGATATTTGATTAAGAAGTGGCCCATATATGGGCGCCTGGGTGGTTCAGTGGGTTAAAGCCTCTGCCTTCAGCTCAGGTCATGATCCCAGAGTCCTGGGATGGAGCCCCACATTGGGCTCTCTGCTCAGCAGGGAGCCTGCTTCCCTTCCCCTTTCTCTGCCTGCCTCTCTGCCTACTTGTGATCTTTGTCTGTCAAATAAATAAAATCTTAAAAAAAAAAAAGAAGTGGCCCATATTAAATTTTTTTGTGAATCTCTGAGATCCTGAAGGCCTAAATTAAAGATGCCTTCTTTCAGAGAGGAAGATCTGTATTTGCTTCTGCTGAGAGTCAGGCATGAGGGGATTGGGGGACTGCCACACAACTGGGACCAGAATTTTATTTTTTTACAAGATTTTAAATAATCTCTACATCCAGCCTGGGGCTTAAACTCACAAGATCAAGAGTCTCATGCTCCAGTGAGCCACCTGGGTGCCCTCTACTGGGACCACATTTAAACCTAGCTTCCCCATTTTATCTCAACTCTGAGGTTTATTCTTGACTATCCAATTCCCAGATCTCAGGACTGATTTGATAATTTGTCCTGGGGCAATCTGGATTTCATGTTTGTTTATTGCTCACCTCTACGATTTTAAGTTTGGTGTTTGTTTGGGGACCCTGAAGATTTCTTACTTTCCAAAGGCCCAACAGTACTTAGAAATTATGTTTATTCAAGACTCAATATCTGACCACTATACTGCCAGAGATAGTGGTCTTCTAATTCCAGTTTTCCCATTATAACCAGGATGATCTTTATGCTCAAATCTAATGATATAACTCTCTTCCACTCTACTTAAAAATCTTTCAAATACTCCTCCCAGTCAAGTCCAAATTCCTTAGTATAATGCTCAAGCCAAGAGGCTACTCACTGGTCTCTCCCTGGCCTCTTTCCCGTAGAACACTATGCTCAGTTTTCCAGAACTATTTTTAAGTTTATTTTATTAGTAATCTCTAAACCTAATGTGAGGCTCAGACTCAAGACCCTGAGATCAAGAGCTGCATGCTCTTAGACTGAACCAGCCAGGGACCCCCAGAATTATCTTAAGTATTCTTAATGTATCATTTTTGCCTACTGGCCTTTGTCCACATTGTTCTCTCTGTCCAGAAGAACCAGTACCCTTATTTCCCCAATTCTTCCCTGTTCTTAAGGATTGTGTACAGGGATCATATCTTCTATGTACCTTTTCGAACACCA